GTCATTGAGCTTTAGCTCATGCATGCTGTCGATTCTTTAATTTTAATGGACTGCGCATGTACAGCCCCTTTGGTACTGCTCATCCAAAACGGCTTCACCGGTGAAACCAAAGCCGGTGAAGCCAGAAAAACTAGCTTTTCCCGACTTCTAGTTCATTTTAACCCTGACTTACAAAACGGCTTCACGCTATAGTGCCTCGATTTGCGCAAAATAGATGAAGCCGAAACCGGCATAAGCCATGCTAAAGAGGCCCTACATATGCATGCTACTGTATACATATGGACTGCAAAAGCCGCCGCATATACATGTGTGTGTGTCACTTCTAGCTGTAGATCAGTCACAGTCACTGAACGCGTTCCTAACGGTGCCATGTTTCTGCAAATTCTGCTGTCAAAGTTTGCCCCAACCTTAGACCTATCGGCACTGGATGTTTGCTTCACTGAGGATGAAATTTGGGCGGTTGTCCGCGATATACCGGCTGAGAAAGCGCCGGGACAGGATGGTTTCACCGGCCTCTTCTACAAAAAAGCATGGCCAATCATCAAAGCCGACGTAGTCGCTGCCTTCAACGCCTTCTGGGCCCTGGACGGCCAGAACTTCCACCTGATCATCAACGAGGCGTTGATGGTGCTGTTGAGGAAGAAGTCGGACGCCGATTCAATTAACGACTACAGACCAATTAGTCTAATGCACAGTGTTGGAAAGCTGATCACCAAATGCTTGGCATCGAGGCTGGCTACTTTCTTGGGGGATCTAGTCAAGCCGAATCAAACGGCGTTCATCCGAGGGAGAAGCATACAAAGATAATTTCAGAACAGTGCAACTATCTTGCAAATTGTTAAGCAAACTGGGTGCCCCAACAATGCTCATGAAAATCGACATTGCTAAGGCATTTGACTCGGTGTCATGGCCCTTCCTGCTTGAGGCCCTGCAGCACGCAGGTTTCAGCAGGAGATGGAGAGACTGGATGGCGCTGATTCTATCAACAGCAAGCACCAGAATACTGTTAAATGGAAGACCAGGGGAAAGAATATGCCATGCAAGGGGTCTGAGGCAAGGAGACCCGCTGTCGCCGATGTTGTTTGTCCTGTCGAGGGAGGTGGTGCTTAACGCTCTCATCCTCCAGGCCGAACAGGAGCAGCTGTTCTTGCCGCTGGGCAACAGAGCCATATTTTTCAGGGCCTCCTTTTATGCCGATGACATGGTCATCTTTATCAAACCAGCAAGGCAAGATCTGTTACTGCTTTTGTACATCATGGAAGCGTTCGAGCAGATATCGGGGCTAAGGACTAACAAAGAGAAAAGCAAGGCCACTCCAATCAACTGCTCCGCGGAAGAAACCCAACTTGCTGTCACCACTTTTGGTTGTGCCGTGGAGGCCTTCCCCTGTCGCTATCTTGGTGTTCCTCTGTCCATAAGAAGGCTTCGCCGCTCCGATGAACAACCTATCATTGATGCAGTTTCAAACCGAATTCCAACATGGAAGGGGAACCTCCTAAACTTAGCCGGCCGTGCTACTTTGGTCTCGGCTACCCTCTCAGCGATCCCTGTTTACATCTCCATCGCAGTCTGCCTATCGCCCTGGGCGATTGACTGTATTGATCGGAGTCGTAGGGTGTTCCTTTGGGCTGGTGCACAAACGGTCGCTGGAGGAAAATGCAGAGTGGCGTGGCGCATGGTCTCCATCCCTAAGATTCTGGGAGGGCTTGGAATTGTGGACCTGCGTGACTGCGTCGTCTCGGGATTGCTCTTCGTCTGAGATGGGAATGGCTTCGGCGAACGGATCCGGCTAGATCTTGGCATGCATTGCCATCACACCCCGAGCGGGCTGTCCGGGCTTTCTTCCAGGTTGCAGTTCACGTCGAGGTGGGCAACGCTCCAACACGCTATTCTGTACAGATCGGTGGATCAATGGTCACTCTATTGGACATATTATAGCACCTTCCCTCCTGGCGGCGGCGCCGACTCGGCTGAGGCGCCGAACGGTCAGCTCGGCGCTGCACAACAGAGCTTGGGTCACAGACATAAGAGGGGCGCCGACGGTCCAGGTGATCTTGGGCTACTTGCACGTCTACGATCTGTTGCAGGGGGTCCAGTTGCAGCTGGATGTACAAGATCGTTTCGTCTGGCGTTTCAGCTCAGATGGAGTTTACTCGGCGTCATCGGCCTACAAGGCGATGTTTATAGGATCGGTCAAGCTCCGGGGGGCAAAGCAGCTGTGGAAGGCCTCTGCCCCACCAAAGATCAAATTCTTCTTCTGGCAATTCGCAACAGGTATTGGACGGCAAGTCGTAGGAAGAAGAGGGGGTTGCAGGACTGTGACCTTTGTGCACTTTGCCACCTAGCCCCGGAAACAATGGATCATCTGCTGGCGCATTGCGTCTGCACGCGAGAGGTTTGGGCCAGATTGCGTGCTGCCATTTCTCTTGTGCAGCCCGTTCACGATCAGTCGACGGCCGTTGATCAATGGCTTGCTGAGAGGAAGTTGTTACCGAAGGACCACCGTAGAGGCTTTGATGCGCTGTTCTTGTTGGTCTCCTGGCTCATCTGGAAGGAGCGCAACAGCCGGGTGTTTGAGAGGTTTGCTACCATGCCAGCATGGCTCCTTCCAAAGATCTTAGATGAATGCAATGCTTGGGTAGTGGCGGGGTTCAGGAGAATTGCCCCCTTGGTTGCTTCCTGGTCGCAAAATGGTTTAGTGTATTAGCGCCCTTTGTTTCTTAACGCTTTTTCATTTCTCCTCAGTTTGACCTTTTGTGTTGCAAGCCGTGGATTGCGTTTTGTAATCGTCTTGCTACCCTCTTAATGAAAAACGGGCTCAGTTGAGCACGGTCGCGAAAAAAAAAGTTTGCCCCTAAATGACGCGCGGCTGCACCTGCACACGCACAGGCCGGGTGTAGAGCAAGAGCTGATTTACACTGTGCTGACAGTTCCGACCTTACAGCAAAAGGCATTATATATGTTGGCCCTGCGCTGGTATATACATACAGGCTGCTGCTGCTAAACCTTCTTCATTATCTGGTTAATTGGTGAGCTGTAGTTGCTCATGAATTGGTCAAATATGCCAAACATGCATGTAAACAATAGTTTCGTTCAAAACATAGCAGTCCTGCGTTGAGTCAAATGTCCAAAATGAGATAATGCATTTGATACACATATGGCATGCAATGAACAAAAGCATTGTTATCTTTGTACGGGGGCAAATGCATTTAGGCCGCATACTACCTCTGTCTAAAAACAAATCAGTTTTTAGAATCACTTTTAAGTCAAACTATCTTAAATTGAACCAACTTTATATAAATGATGATAACAACAACCATGACACTAGATAAGTATATTATGAAAACATATTTCATATGATGATACTAATTTTGTGTCATAAATATTGGTACACTTTTTCTATAAATTTAGTTAAATTTAAATTACTTTGACTTAGGACAACTCTAGAAGTTGATTTAATTTGATATAGAAAGAGTATATATATGCTTCTTCTTGGTATGTATTGAACGTAACAACCGACTTGAATAAACGAATCACCCATAAAATTGTGTGCAAATAAATTTGAGGAAATTAAATCACCGCATCTGTGAGGTATTAAATTAGCAAACTCGAAACCTTGGAAAACCTCAATCTAGTACATGTTTTCGTATTAGGATTCTGTATACCAAGAGGAGTAATGATTTTGTTTTGTGATGCTATTTTAGTCTAATTGTGTAATCCTTGAACTGCATTATTAGTATTGTTAACTATGATACAATGAGTGGTGACATATTTTCAACCACAATGTTTTCAATGATTATCACTGAAGCGCTTTGGTTCAAAAAGTTTCACAAACAAGGTAGCAAAATATATTATAATTAGTGATATGTTCTCACATTAATATAAGAAAACAACTAAATTACATAAAGTTTCAAAAGTATATTAATTAGTGTGGTGTCTAGTCGAGCAACAAATTAATGGATGCCCTCAATTTGCTGTTAATGGTTGCCAATTTCTTCAGTTTTTTGGAAGGGCCAAAGGTGATATGGATGAGATATCTCAAACATACTAGAGCCAAAATTAAGATTTTTTTTTTGCTCAGTGTCCAATTTGATGAATTGAAGTAATATTACAAAATATAGAGAATATTCTCCAAACTAATCCTCAGTTCAAACAATAGTCCTTATCACACAACTAAGATATTAAAGAAAAAAACAATTGGAGAAATATTGCAAATTATATTTCTAAATTGTATTGAAAAAGTGTTGGATTAAAGAAAATCACACAACTTATAAAAGAAAATTTGAGAAAAAAAACTCTAGTTGGCTAAACTACTGTATCTCCACTTAGGGAATTATGGATGCTATGGCAATGACTAATCCTATGTGCATGTATAGGCGATAATAACTTTTGGCTATATTATTGGCAATGTAATCTACAAGGTAGTGCCATTTATCATTTTTATGGGCGATAATAACTTTTGGCTATATTTATTGTTATTGGCAATGTAATCTACAAGGTAATGCCAATAATCATTTTTTAAAAACAGATATTAACCCTGACAAAAGGAGAGAAAAGAAAGCATGAAAGGCTTTCTCCAAAATAGAAGTGGAAAAAAAACATTAAAAACACCTCAAATATCGGTATGGATTGCTCGACTGCGAAGGCAACAAAGTCCAAAAAGGAACACAATCTAGGTAAGCAGAAATTCAAGAACGAATTATAAAATTGTTATTACATTACCAACACACACACATCACACACCATCACCGGTTACTTCCTTGTGTAAAAAAGAAGCAACGAATTACATTGCATGTCCTGCAAAAATAACCTTAATTACTATGCATGCTAGCAGCTCTCTACGCTAGAGCCCCCTCTACTTGATGATACCAAACAATACCATCTCAAAACTGCAGTTACAAGAGCTTTACGGAACCTTCAAACGAGTACTTGATTACTACTACACCAATCTTTATTGTTCTACGTACCTTCTTGAGCAGTAGAGATCATCAGTGACCTAATCATCCCTGGTTGCCGGGGTGAAGGAAGCTTCTAGCTGAGCTCAGTGAGAGCTGGCCTTGCGAATGTTCGAGGCTTTCTACAGGGAACTGATGATCGGTGGCTTCTTTCATGGCGAAGCCACCGCCTTCCGGCGAGTAGAAGACGAGCTGAGGCCCCGGAGCAGCAAGAGACAGCAGAGATGAGAACGGCGAGTGGTGAGCCACTGTCTGAGGCGAAGTGCCGTGGCTCACCTGATGATCATGGACGGCGGCATTATTGCCATTGGTCGTCCAAGACTCACCCGCGGGCGTGTAGTACAAGCCGTGAGCCATCGGCATGGTGGCGTTGAAGAGGCCGATGGAATTGTTGAGGCCCATGAGCCCTTTGATGCCGCCGCCGTGGCAGTGGCGTTTGTCGCCGTCGGCCATCGCCGCCGCGGACGCGTTCGCGGTGGCGGCCCGGTCGGCGGCGGCTGCAACGTTGGAGAAGGGCGCCACCATGGACGGCGGGAGATGGGCGACGAGGTCCTGCGCTTGCGGCGGGAACTGGAGCGGAGGCAGCTTGTCGATCTCGTGCTGCGCGGCGTCCAGCAGCCAGTCCACCACCTTGCTCGGCTGGCTGAGGCCCAGCCGTTCCTGGAGGTCGTAGAGCTGGATCGCCGTCGGCACGGACAGCCGCACGCGCCGGTCGCGCAGCCCCTTGACCGTCCTTACCTTGCTGTGCCGGTCCTTGCCGCCGAAGACCCGCGACACGCGCACGATCCTCGACTCCGTCGACGGCGGCCAGTGCCGAGAGCTCGACAGCACGGGACTCTTCGCGACGACAGCGCCGGCGGCCGTGGCCGGCCCCTCGGCCTTGGTGCATCCGGTCCCCAGCTCTTCATTGGTGAGGTTGCCGCTTATCATCTCTTATTAAGCTAGCCACCACTCATGATCATCACACCTAGTAATAACACGGATCATCATATCAGGTAATACTAATTAAGAATTAAACCAGCAGACTACTACAGGGGAAATTAATTGGGCATGCATGAAATGAGATCGATGGCGCATGCATCGATCGCAGTGCGTGATGGTGAGCAGCATGTGGATGGATCGATCTGGCCACTGTTGTCCAGTGTCCACTGGTAAACGAGCAGCCTTATTCGGTACACAGACAGGAATCACGGAAAGATATGGCACTGAAACATGCATGAACTTGGGTGGATAGTCGACTGTAGCTCTCTTTATGCTTTAATTTTGCTTACTCTACAGGCAGCAGTACGTTAACTTGAATCTTCTTCCAAAAAAAACACTCAATGTAAATTTGAAGGTGTATTATAGAAAAATATGAATTAATATATGATGTTGGTTAAGAAAAGATTAACTACTTAGAACTACGATATAAAAGGATTCAGTTAATTTATGAGCACCTTGCATTGGATACAGCAGTGTGTCAGTATCAAACTGTCCTACAGTATAATCCTATCCCAGATTAAAAAGAAATGCTGGAGAAAATTAGAAACCAGTGGGAGAATGGAGATGAGGAACAAAATTAAAAGGCGCCATGAAAAATCAGATTCAACTGTATCTTTGTGTTCCAGTGTGTCTTTCAATTCCAAGAAAGCTTAGCATATATATACTAAAAGAGAAAAAGAATTATGTTCCCCAAAAGACAGAAGACAAGCACTCCACATATAAAAACAAGGGAGCGTGTGGCGTATGCACTAGTGTGAAAAATGAAAAAAAAAATTCTCAGAGAAAATTGTGAAGTGTAAACAAGCAAGAGCTGGGGGATGAGAGAGAGAAGAACTTAAATCCGGGGGCAGCATGTATGTATAGATCCATTAAGAACCACTTACAAGCATCATCAAATTACCGGCGACGACAACCTTCCTTCCCCAGCTCAACTCAGATCAGAGATCAAATAGCTTCGACAATGGCCCCTATGGCTGACGAATCAAACGGGATAGTTGGCCCCGGCCGACGACGGCGCCAATATAAGCGAGCTCGACGCCGCACACCGGAAATTCGTCCGGCTCAGCCCGGAGCGTGGGAGGACGGAGCTCGATCGATATCAGGAGATGGAATAATGGTGATGTGGATCGACGACCGGCCGGCTCGGGACGGCGGTGTAAGCCCTAGCTAGAAAGCTGTGTTAGCTGGAGAATGGACGGAAGATCGAGGGAGGAGAGGAAAGGGAGAGGTGGTTTTGGCCGCCGGCTATCTATCTATCTACTACTAGCTGCTGTGCTGCTGGTGGTGTTTGTAGTGTGTGGTGGTGATGGGAGCAAGCACTTGTGAGTTGTGAGGAATGGACTTGTGTGGTGCTTGCTTGCACCAACTAAATGATCAGCTGGCGTCGTCGCTTTCTCGGGTCCCTGTCCTTTCACCCTGTCGTGCTCCTCGTGTGCGATAAGCTGCGGCGTACGTGTGTTACCGTCCAGCACAGATGGTGATGACGAGACCGCGCGGTGACTCCATCTTCTCCCTCGGCACGTACGGTGAGTAGTGCAGGACGGGTCGACGGTCGTGAGCTGCACGCGCGTATACTGCCGCGCCACACCTTCAAATATGCACACACACGTGGTTTTTTTTTTCTGAAGCAAACTTGCATTGTCAGCGATTACTTTGCAGCTGCAAGAGCTAGCTAGCTCATCACTAAACTAGGTTGATTATTGCTGACGACTAATCAACTACTCCAGTGCAAAAAAAAAACACGTGAGTTTGATGTCGGCTAACTCTGTTTAAAAAAAATGAATAATGCTCGATAATACTCCTACCTATCAGTTGTTTGAACTGCATATAATTTCACAGGAAACTACTCAAACCGGCCCTGACCTAGCGAGCTTTAAAAAGAGAAAAAAACTAAAAAAATGACAGCATATATATATATATATATATATATATATATACTGCCACCATCTGTCCTAAATCGTAAGTTGTTTTGATTTTTCTCGGTACATAGCCTTTTGCTATGCACCTAGATATACAATATGTCTTCATACATAGTAAAAGTTGGTGTATCTAAAAAAGTCAAAATGATCTATAAATTGAAACGGATGGGAGTATTTGAGTATGAAGCAGACATGCATGTCGCTTGGAGGGAGTATTTGAGTACGAAGAAGACACACATATCGCTCTCATGGAGTTCATCTCATCCCATATTATGCGCACCGTGCCCATATATCACATCATTTCATGATACTACTATCACAAAATAAGTTCGATAATAACGGGCAGGCGCTGGGCACATACAATGTCTTTTCCCAATGTTTTTGTACCCAGCATATATACGACGAGGCTTTGCATGTCCTTGAGCACCAGAACCTAGGGGGCTACTCCATATAGGGCAGGGACCATGCTTCTTTTGGCCATCCAATAACCAGCGGCAGGACCACCCATGAATGACTTTTTATCCTTTTGTAAGATCACACATAATCCGGGTGAACCAAAAGCGCAAGACCGCAACCACCATCATGATCATAATCTAGGTAGATCTCTTCGCCGCCATCGCCCCCCCCCCCTGTTTTTTCTTTCTGTGAAAACTTAGTGGTAGTAGTAGGAGAAGCAAGCACATGTTACAAATTCATCAAACTAGATGCGATCCCCGCTCGTTGCTGCAGGAATTAGACAATGAAACTTGGGTGGTTGTCAGATGAAAGTACGAACATTGCTTTTTTTTGGAATTGAAATATGCCCAATGTTCAAATGCATTTCATCTATACAAAAATAAAACAAAAGAGTCAATTACACCAATCATTAACACATGGTAATTTCACATGAAAGAAAAAATGGTGCATTGTGACACAGGAAAATGAAAATATATTCTTTTGAATGGTTGAAAATTATTCGCTGGATAATTTCTGGTAAAGGCTGAAGTAGTTTTTTTTATCACGAAAGTTAAATAGCTAAGGGAATGCTATGGTGGGAATTAATGATAATATCGATAATACTGCTTGATTACTAAATAGATGTACTCTCACCTGCTACAATTATATTACGTATGGGCACCTGAATTGCATCAAATAAATAACTCAAAACACATGTCGTCTCAAACATTGTGACACCCTAGGTACTCACATAACTCGAAGAACGACCCCAGAAACCCTTGAGCAACACATGAGCTTTTATGATGACGAAGGAATTCGTCACCCGTGTCGATGACTGCGATGTGAAGAAGCGCTTCTCAGTGACATCGTCAATGAGAGGAAGGCATCAATCATGATGTATATTAGAAATTCTCACATAGTTAAATTAGCACTTGGTCCAGTTGCGAAGGAGTACGCGATAGTTCTAGAAACATGCATGGCCAACTATGATTTTATTAATTTTTTCCATAGCCAAACAATGATCAAATTGCATGTTTCAACCAAAAAAAAATCATACACTTGAGATATAGGAGAAATGGTGAGATTATCTATATGATACATTAAAGCTCAATTATTCCTCGCAAAAAGGAATGAGCCCAGTATATGGATCCCTTGTATATATGGAGAGATTATCTATATGATACATTAAAGCTCAATTAAAAAAGGATTACCCTGGCCAGTGCTAAACGTTTGAAGTATTACCGAGAGGGTTTCCTGGGTGGATACTTCTTTTAGCAGTCTGTTGTTATCCACGAAGAAAAGTCAAGTCGGAACATCCTCCTTGGTGCCCATGCTCTCTTTCCATGCTCCATTAGGACGGCTGCATGCATGCACGACTGATTCACTGCAACATAACACCCACAGATCGACCCCGGCTGCCACTGCCAATCCGCCATGCATGACAGCTGACAGCATAGCGACAGGGCCGCCCATATCCCGCTAGGCCACTACTAGGCGTGTCCAGGCCGCCGCCGAGCGCGCGCGGCCTACAGAATATCTTCGCCGCATCGATCGCACCCCAGTCCCCCAATCGGCCAGTCCATCGTCGTCATCGCCTACCCGGCCGGTCGACCTCGGTATCCGTCCAGCCATATGCTGATGATCGATAATGCATGCATGCATGCATGCATGGAGTATTCACATGATGAGGTGATCCCATTCCCGTCCATGTTTGAAACGTTTCCTTTTACCCATTGGTGATTGGTCCGGCATGCAGTCATGCAGATAGATGCCGGATCGGTCGGTGGATCGTCATCGACCATGCATTTGCATTGCTTTCGGTGGTTGATTATTACGCCTCCAAAACCTTGCTGTTACTCCGATCCATCCGCACGTCGGCATGTAGTACGTACGTATGATACATCGGTTTCTTCCATCTCGCAGGACAAGTGACAGTTCACACGGCAGTACCCGGCGGCTGGACCCCGGCACTCACTCACTCACTCACTCTCGCCAAAGAGCAGTGGCGCGTACGCCACGTACCAATTTCAGATGCATGCATTATTGCATGATGAAGGAAGCTAAGTTCCTACCTAGTAAAAGTACGAGTACTGTAGCTGTGTTTAGTTCGTAAAATTTGAAAATTTGCGCTGCTGTATCATTTTCGTTTTTATTTAGTAATTAGTGTTCAATCATGGACTAATTAGCCTTAAAACGTTCGTTTCGCGATTTCCAACCAAACTGTGTAATTAGTTTTTTTCATCTATATTTAATACTCTATGTATGTATCGTAAGATTTGATATAATGACTACTGTAGCACTTTTTGAAAAACTTTTTGTGAACTAACCAAGACCTATACTAATCAGTCGGATGCCATTGCCTGATGTAGCCCTGTACTCGACCTCTTATGCATGCATGGTGTGTGTGTGCGGTACTACGTACACTCTGCCGACAGATGACGCATGCATGCGCAGTGGAGGTACAGCTGCTCTTGGTAAAAAAGGTGAGTTTTCGTGTGATTTTGGAAGCTGGCCGGCCGGCCATGGAATTCGATCCACAGCCGCGTTAGACTGTGTTTGTGTTTAGTTTGCGAAATGAAAATTTTTATGTCATAT